GTGAGTTGGTTTCTCTTATGCTTTATACTATAGACTATAGTCTATGGCATGAGTCGATACTTGACAACCAATCTGAAGAGTCGCCAGTCAGTATGAAAATGTGTGCATGACACCCTAAAAGGATGTGAATTTTAAAGTGTTGTAGTCCTTGGAGTCATTCGACTCTTTCCTCAAAATTATCATTATTAGGTTTCAAATTTTATTGTATACCGGAGGCAGCGATGGTGCCACGTTTACTGTGGGAGGGACCATGGCTTCACCCCTAAAAAATTAGATTCAACTTATCTTAGGCCAGATTTTCAAACTATGCATATTAAGCCCTGGCTTCCTAAACCTTTGGGTTTAATTACTTCTAAGGTCTCTATTAGTTTAGAAACTAGGGAAATCAAGCTGACTCCCATTTTTCGGTTTAAATACTTACTAGGTCCCTCTCGATTTTGATATTAGACAAAATATGCAATATCCTCATTGTTTCTGTTTAAATACTTATTAGATCCCTGTCAAATTTAAATTCAAGTAAATTAAATCCTAACCCCCAAATTTTAAATTTTGTCTTAACAATTAGACTTTGATCCATTTTTATTACTATTTATATTTTCCCTCAATCTATCATCCTGGCTATTTCCCTGACTGGAGGCTCATGTAGATGGAAGATACATCATCCATGTCCAACTTTTGTTGCTCCGTGGTTCAGAGTTAAATGTACCTGGTCATTGACTATCTAATTTAAGATTCAAAATTGTTTTTTCTATTTAGCTTCCTGAAGATACAAGGAAAATAGTTTTACCTGAATTTAAGATGTCATTTTTTCCTGGGGTTGTATTATAATGGACATCATAGTTAAAATCCTCATCCTACTGTTTATTTTCCTTGTATCCATGCAATATGTTTCACCGTCCAGTATGATGTCTTGAAACTTCTTTTGCTCCTGAATGCTTCTTCACGTCATAAATAGATATATGGCATAATTATGCCCCTTGAATCATGGAAAAATGGTCAAAGATTTTTTAGCATATTTAAAAACGTTGACATGGCATGTGCTTGTTTTGTTCTTAACGTCGAAATAGTAGTGCAGGAGCAAGATCAGAATGGACATGAACAAAGTGCTAAAAATAGCTGTAAAAATTCCTTCACCCAACTTAACACACTATCTAAGTAGGCTACAAAGATTTATCTACATATACTATATGCTCAGCACCCACCAATAAAGTCATGTTGTGTGCTATCTGTGTATGTATCTGCATGCCTTGATCTAGATTCAATTGCTTCTCTATTCTGTAACTTGATCTCTTTTCTGCTTGTTCATATTGCGATGAAGGTGGTAGCTTTGTTTAATAACTCGAGATATCTAGCATGTCATCATAATCATACCTCTAATTGGGTTCTTCTTAACTACTTTTTGTGTTCATAGGGCAGTTCAGGCCATGAGAAAACATCATTTGTAAACTACTCAGCTTAATGCCGATAAATCCATTACTACATTTATTTTTTACTCCAATATATAGAGTTTCCCTTTCTGGACTGTTGAGATTTGACTTGTGGTTCATTTTCATCCCATGTTTGTTATTTCAGCTTCCGATGCCGACGAACGAAATTCAGATGCTAATTACCGAGTAGCTGCCACGGGCTGATCTTGCTGTGTCAAGTCAGTAGATGAAAGCTTTTATCTACCATGTGTATTGAAAGGAGAAAAGACAGAACAAAAGAAAGGGGGTGAAGTAATTGATAGTAAAAAGCAGGCTAAAAATGTGTTATTAGTAGATTGTGTAAACAATGAAGTCGTATGAGATGTGAAGAACAAAGTTGCGCACAACTTTAGCAGTACTATATTATCATATTGCCTTTGCCTGAATCCCCAGGTATAGTTTTAGTTTCTCATTGTATATACTGTATTATATGAACTCAATTACTCTACCCCAAATCTGAGTTAGATTGAACATTAGCTCAATTAGTATAGTCGTAATTATAACATTCATGATGTTGATTCAAAGGTACTTAAATACAATAATCTTCGATTTAAGGGATTGAAATATTATAAATAATTTACACCATATTATAATTTACGACAGATTGGTGCAACATATAAAATTTGTACCTTTCAAAAGACAACAGTCCCCCCCCCCCCATAAAACAATGATTCCAATTGAAGCATCTGAAACAAGTAGAGATAGATTTCTTAGTGAAGTATAAAATTTGTATTTATATTATCAACTTGGAAGAGTGTTTTTTAAAGCAAGATTTGGCTTAAAACGTGTCTTAGGTTAAGATATGGTGTCAGCAAATAGAAACAGTGTTAGTTGCAACTCAATTGAACCCTTTTTTGCTGGTTGGCTGCTTTCTAATGTGTCATCTTCACATTTATATATTTCTATACCTTCAAATTGATCTGCCTCTCACGTTTATTGCAAGTGATGTACACCTAATTTTGAAGTAATTTAAAATGTTTAGATATTTATTTATTTTAATATTTACACGAACAATTAGTGTAGATTTACATGGTTTTTTTTTCATTGATTTTTAAGTAACTGTGGAGAGGCACTGTGGTGATGAATGTGTTCATCGGATTTGTGAATAAAAGGATTGGATGTTGAGAGTGACGTTGTCGGTTGTGGCCCATCTCTATCAACAACCTCACCCCGCCCATCACCCCAATTTATCGGTGGCTTTAGCAAAGTAAAAAAAGAATTCCGGTCACTACCGACCATCTCAGGCCAAGTGAGTTCAAAGGCTGAAAGATGAAAACGGTCCAATAAAATCTGCCTTCACATCCCATGCCTCCATCGTTTGCATTTACCCTACGGGCAGACACAGAATCCAGTTTTCATTTTTTTTTATGCAAATAAAAGGTAGTGGAGTGAGATGGGATTAGTGGGCATCACCTGCCACTTTAGCCCTCTACTTGACACGTGTTACCGCTGCCCACACATGTGAGAGGAGGAGGACCACCACCACTGTATTTATGTTTCCTGTCGCAGCCCAATTAAGAAAAGCCCCAACCCTAACCAACGCTTTGGGGGTGATCTGTATTTAGGGTTCATCAATGGGCTCGGACAAATTTGATGGAATCAAAATTCTATATACAAATTTAAATACATTAAGACATAAGGATTCTTTGGTTAATATAATTCAAATTATATACCAATAACCGATTGGTTTAATGGGATGAGACATTAGATCCCTTAAACAAGGTCAAGGGTCCAATTGAGAATAGAGTAAACTGAGTTGAGAAGATTATCTTTACTTTTGTAATACCCGATTCAGATTAGTCAAGCAATAGATCTAGATACCGATAATTATATAAAAAAATAATGTCAAATTATATTTTAAAAAATATAATATTATAAATTATTTAAAAGTAATTTTAAAAATAGAGGATCGATGTTCAACTTTAGGAAATTGAGGTGGACGTCACAGTCGGAAAAAAGGCGGAGGTGTCAACTTAGCAAAAGCGGAGATAAGAGGTCAGCCCTGACGTGTCTCTTCTCAAATTAAAAGCTGCCCCCTTTTTTGTGCTTTTTTAGGACCAGAAGTTTTCATTCTTTACCTTTTAGTACCATTTATCTTTCTATCTATCCCACCACCATGCGGCTTAAATTTCAACATCTGTCCTTCTTTTTGTAAGACTCTCCCCACAACTCCATTTTTTTATATTCGATCCGTACTTATTTAATCTATTTACTTGATGAGTTGACTAAATTACCATTAATTGATAATTAATCAAACTCTTATGCCAACTTTCTCTTGTATATATAAGATTAATATTCATTTATATGATGTAAAATTAATTTAAATATGATTATCTATGACCACTCTCATTGTAAAAGTAATTTCTCACATATCAATAATGAAATATAACTAATATAAAAGATAATTGATTCTGGTTGGACCAGTTTGCGTGCTGCCAGCTTCAAGATATAGTCGAAAATTCTGAGAACTGGACTTAAGCCTTGGCTGACAGTATCAGAGTGCATTTATTCCAAGCCTAACAGATAATATGATGGTTGCTTCTGATGTCATACATTCTATAAAAAGGCGATCATGAGATAGACGAGAAGACGAGTCCATAAAATTAGATATGTCCAAGGCATATGACCAGGTGTAATGGAGTTTCTTGCAGACTGTAACGGCTAAACTGTGTGTTTGCAGATATGTGGTGTGCTTAGACTTGATTTCTTACTCACAGAGTTGCAGTGTTTTCAATTGATAATCCCGACTCGAGGTTTTCGATAAGGCAGGCAATCTAATCCCGACTCTATAGGTTTTCAATTTGTAATGGCCCAAATCAATTAATTGCATTACAGGTGAACACAAGTTGACAGACAAGAATCACTATTGATCATTGATGCTGATAAAGTTGAAAGTTTTATTTTGTCTCTAATTCGTTAGGTTAAAACGTGCTCTTAATCCCTGTGATCTTTTGTATTTGAAATTTATCATCTTTTAAATCTAAAATTCAATTCTAATTATTTATTTTATATCCATTACAATTTACACCACTATTTAAAAGCATCACATCAATAACTTTAGTAAAAGATATTTAATTATATTTACTAATTAAATTTGAATTTTAAAAATTTATAAATAAAATGTCTAAAAATTTAAAATAATTATAAAAGCTACAAAGAATATAAGAAATTAAAGCAGAGTTTAACAAGTATGAAAATATATAGAGCTACAGACAAGCCAGTAGCGTTTGTGATAATTGATTCCACTGGATTTCTTCACTCATCGAAGAACTTTTTGGGTTCCAACTTCAGCTTCACTTAGTTACGAAAGAGAGAGAAGGGTAAGGACATTGGCTTTAATAGGGCACTTCCCTTGAACCAGCGTTGGCAAGCTGCCATCTGTTAGGTTATTCTTCCACGTACCCCATTTTTGCTTTGGGACCGGACAGTTTCCTTTGACGTGGCACCCACTCCCTCTTTTTTACCTACATAAATACCCCTTCTCCCTCATCTCCCCTTCATTTCTCTTTACAATCACATTTTCTTTTCCTTTCCGAGGAAGAAAAAAAAAGGAAACCTAATAAGCAAAGGTGAGTTGAAAGAGGCAATAATGCCGGGTTTTGGTGATTTGGAAGCTCTCGATGGGGATGTCCCACGTTATTCAAAAGATGGTTCTCGAGATTCGCGTGATCACCTCCCTTCATTAATGGCTTCTTGTTATCCTATCACTCTCAAGGTAAAAAAAGAGAAAAAAATCTGGAGTGAGTTCAGTGTGTTGAACTGCCCGAGTCAACTGTACATTGACTCGTTTTATTTGACCTTTTTTGATATTCTTCTTATCTGTTTTTCGTTTCATGCAGTTCATCGACGTGTGTTTCAAGGTGAAGGTACAAGGGACCAATACACAGGGTAGCAGCATTAAACGCTTGCTCACCCATGGCTCATCGAGACCGTCCGATCAGGGATCAACGAGTAGGAATGAAGAGAAAACGATATTGAACAACATCACGGGCATGGTTTCACCGGGAGAAATGTTGGCTATCCTCGGTCCTTCAGGCAGCGGTAAATCTACTCTCCTCAATGCCTTGGCCGGGAGGCTCCAACACGGCCATGGTAATTTCTCCGGCACCATGCTTGCCAACAACAGAAAACCGAGCAGACAAATAGCCAAATGCACGGGATTCGTTACCCAAGACGATGTTCTATACCCTCACTTGACGGTTCGTGAAACCTTGGTGTTTTGCTCTCTTTTAAGGTTGCCGAAAACATTATCGGTCAAGGACAAGATTTTGGTGGCCGAATCGGTTTTGTTCGAGTTGGGGTTGTCGAAATGTGAGAACACAATAATCGGGAATAGTTTTATACGTGGAATTTCGGGTGGAGAACGGAAAAGAGTGAGCATAGCTCATGAAATGCTTATAAACCCTAGTCTGCTTATTCTCGATGAACCGACGTCGGGTTTGGACTCGACAGCGGCTCATCGGTTGGTTTCAATTTTGGGTTCGTTGGCTCAAAAGGGGAAGACCATAGTAACATCCATGCACCAACCGTCTAGCCGAGTTTATCAGTCGTTTGTCTCAGTGTTGGTCTTGAGCGAAGGAAGGAGCTTGTATTTCGGTAAGGGAAGTGAAGCTATGGGTTACTTTGAGTCGATTGGATTCTCACCGTCTTTCCCCATGAATCCAGCGGATTTCCTCCTTGATCTCGCAAACGGTACGTCATCTGTTTTTACAAGTACTGTTTGCTTTCTATTATTACATGAGTTAGCCTAGTTAACTCGAACAGTGAATGAACTGAACTCACTTCGTTTCTAGTTTCGTTTAGAAGACGAATCTGTCGTTGTGTACTTACTGTAGATATAGATTCTATATTAGCTGGGAGAAAAGATATGAAAAGAAATATTGCCAAATAGTGGTGGGTCAGTAGATTAATTATACTTGGTTTTAATTTGTTGGAAACAGAAAGTTGACAATTAAAGGTAACGACACCATAATTTTAAGGTGTAGATGGCGCGATATTCTTGTATCTGTCTTTTCCAATGACCCCTCCGTAGAAATCTGCCTCTTTTTTCTCGATCAAGATTTTGCATAGCCAGTGCACTGTGGTTGATGCCTCCAGCTTAGCTCATGGGATAAATTATGAACCACAAATTTGATCATCCATTCCATCAGCTGTGGCCTGGCCATTGTCTGCCTTGATTAGCTGCCTAATTTGCTACTTAAATTGTCTAGAAACACTTCAATTATTGGTCAAAAACTCTAGTGTCATCTGCTTGAGGGTCACCAACTAGCTAAAAACATTTTACCTAAACATTAGGCTTTAAGGCCTAAATAGACCTAATATGATCATGATTATCTCGTCCAATTTATTTCATTCACAATTTTATAATTCTAACTTTCAATTTAATTTATAAAGAGATCTAGTATCTCGTCTTGTTGGAATATTTGTAGTCTCTTTAATGCCCATAATAGCAAGACGAATAGTACATGGGAGTTTATGGTATTAGAGTTGGGAGTCTTGGACATGATGATCTGTAGGGAGGTTTTAGTATTTGTGACAAATGACGCCATTGATAGCGTTAGCAAACATCTTATCATGCTTGTCTTAGCCAATAATTCTTAAAACACCTTATCAAATAATTGCTACATCGGGTCCCATAGGCTGTCCTATGCCAGCTTTACACCTGTCCAAATTTGGCCTTCCTCCCTCATTATAAAAGACTGATCTGAAACCCCTTTCTTTAAGTCCAACTATGGAATTCTGAAGACCAGCACTTTTGTTTTTACAACCAAAGTCATAAAAAGCAAGTGATGGCCCAACTATAGTGGCCGTGGCGGGGGGGGGGGGGGCAGCACCAGACTGAGTGGCACTGGCACTGGCACTGCAACTCAGTTTCTTTAATTTCGTAATGGGGAGCAACTCAGTTGTTGTCTGTTTACTTTTTGAATTTTCAAACCCAATTTTACTGTTGTTGATATTTTTGTGACCTGCTGTAAAGGAAATCTAATCCCACTCCACCAACTTTACCCATATTCTTAATTATCTTTCATTTTTATTTCTGTATAACTTGTAGAATATTCCAAGTGCTTTGAGTCCACACATGTTCATCCATATTTTTACACGTTACATTAGGCATATGCTCAGAGTTCCTGTTCTTCACACTACTTGTGGATTTAAGTAATATTCTAAGGTTTTGGACAGATATTTTATACTTTCGGCCGCTCTGCTTTATTATTTGAAGTAATAGAACTTTATTTTAATCACTTTCAGGAATATATGCTAATTTGTAGGGGAATAAATTGCATTATGTTCTTTACGTTTAGGAAACCTTTGTTTCTTATTCTGGTATAAGCAGTATTTGCACTAATTTATTTATAGTTAATGATTGTACAGGTGTGTGTAAACTTGATGGTGTGAGTGAAGGAGAGAGGCCGAACGTAAAGCAAACCCTGAGTGCATCTTACAACACCCTGCTGGCTCCAAAAGTTAAAGCTGCTTGCATGGAGGCCAACCCTGTTTCGGGAAAAGATTCGCTCGTCGGCGGCGGCCATTGTTCCGAGCAAGGCCGGATTAGCAACCAACGCGATCTCTCTACATGGTTCTATCAATTTAGCATTCTTCTTCAAAGAAGCCTTAAAGAAAGAAAGCAAGAGTCTTTCAACACCCTCAGAGTGTTCCAAGTAATAACTGCTGCGATACTGGCCGGTTTAATGTGGTGGCATTCGGATTATCAAGATATCCAAGACCGCCTCGGTCTCCTCTTCTTCTTTTCCATCTTTTGGGGCGTGTTGCCATCGTTTAATGCAGTATTTGCGTTTCCTCAAGAACGTGCCATCTTCATGAAAGAGCGTGCTTCGGGCATGTACACTTTATCTTCCTATTTCATGGCACGGATAATTGGAGACCTCTCGATGGAACTCGTTCTCCCCACGGTTTTCCTTCTCGTAACATATTGGATGGCCGGATTGAAACCCAATTTGGTCGAATTTCTGCTGACATTGTTGGTTCTTCTCGGGTACGTGCTCGACTCTCAAGGGCTCGGGCTCGCGTTAGGCGCATTGATCATGGATGCCAAACAGGCTTCAACCATAGTTACAGTCACAATGCTAGCATTTGTTCTAACTGGAGGATACTACGTGCACAAGGTGCCATCATGTATGGCATGGATCAAGTATACTTCTACTACATATTACAGCTATAAGCTGTTTATCAATGTTCAATACGGCGACGGAAAGAAAGTCTCGTCCATGCTGGGCTGCTCGCATCCCGGAAGCGATATGGTTAGCTGCAAGTTCATCGATCAGGACATCGCGGGGCAAATTAGGCCTGAACTGAGTGTCGGAATCTTGATCCTAATGTTCGTAGGATATAGGTTGTTGGCTTACCTTGCATTGAGGCGCATCAAAGGCTGAGGTCTTTGTATTGGGTTACAGATTCTTGTTATTTGTACGAAGGCCTTAAATTGTAAATTTTCACTTTGATTAACTAGAAAACTTTCACTTTTAACTCCTCTTAAAAATTAATTCATGTAATATTTTTTTTAATTATTTTTTTAATTTTATCTTAATACCTTAATTTCGAATTATAAATGAGGTTGAATTTGACAATATCCGCTTTCAATGGCTCCGTTGCCATGGCTAAAAAAGAAAGAGAAGGCCCAACCTGTCCCACGGACACGGCTAGCAAGACTTTCGGAAATTTTCGGCAAATTTGGCCCAATAAGTTAAGCAAGTAAAATTATTGGTTCATTTAATCACTTTTAAAATTAATTTGAGATCTACTGTGTTTATTACATTGATTTATAATTAGTCACTTCGTGATGAGTTTAATAAAATATATATTTTTATTATAATTTATCACCATGCTGTGTCAAATTTTAATAAAAAGTTATATTTAATAAATTTTAATAAAAAAATTATATTTTTTGAAGTGATGAGTTTAAATAAGAAAAAATATTATTTGGATAAACTCGTCATGACCGTAACATATGACATAAATCTTAAATTAATTTTGGAGATTATTTAATGGGTTAATTTTTTTTACTCAACCGATCTATTTGGCCAATTTTGCCCAGACTTTCTCCTTCAGCACTTTGTATGTTCTCTTGCCTTAAGACTTGGACTAAGAGAGAGACAGCATAGAATTAGACATATGTCTGAACGTAATCGTATCTTGTCTTAATGAAAAATTCAATATCCAAAAAGAAAGGATATTGAATTATTTATTTGTCCCTATAACAAAAATATCTAACTAGGTTTAAATGATTTAAATCACAGTGTAATTATAATTTAAAATAAAATATAATATAATGTTTATGATATTTTATCAATTAAAATTTTACCCAAATTTGATCAATATTTGGTAACCCACTTAGAGAGAAGGTTAATAAGCATCCTCTTACAATAACCAACTATTGATGAACAAATACCACATAATTAAGCCCAAAACCTAAATGTTACAAACCCTTAATACTATATAATTAGTTAAAGGGTTTGAGTGGACCTATGGTTAATGATTTGGTTCCTAGCTTTAGCTTTGGCTTTGGCTTTGGCTTTGGATTGTACAATTCAAAATTTGATCAACCAATTGATGGTGCCAATTTTAACCATGCTGCTCTTTGAAACATCACTGTTAATGCTCAACTTTCTTTGATTATCGATCCGATCGGTTTAACTTACTAAAACGAATCAATTTATTAAAGTATCATATAGTTTCCTTTAAGATAAAAATAAATAAATCTTCAATTTTAAATGATTTAAATATACTTGAATCTACGTCTTCTCGAATATTACAATAATAATTATGTTAAATTATGTATATATATAATGCATAGATAGACTAGTAGCCAGAACAAACTTAGTTAGGAGATTAGATGAGCTAAGTTGACAAAAGAATCAAAGTGGGGGCAAGGGCGGCACAAACTGGTTGATGGTATGAAAGTAGTTTTTGAGCTAATGCCATTAAATTAAATTAATACTATGATCTAAACAAGGGTTATTAATTTGGACACAACCAAACATGTTAATAAGGCCAGTGCCGGTTTCTAAATTATGAATCTTGTACACCTACCTTCTAAATCTTGATCCACTGATCATCAGTTCAACACTCCCAACTACTAAATCATCTTGCTTACTTTTTATTGCATTTTATATTTTGATTTCTTTCCCCTTTTAATCTCAATATATATAGAGAAGAGAGATTTATTTACCCTAAAGTAAAATTAAGTCAATTCTATATAATTTATTTCTTTGGGTAAAATATTTTAATAATATAAATATTAAATTTATTAATATATATATATATATATATATATATATATATATATATATATATATATATATGGATAATTTGATTTTATTACCCAAAAGAAGGAAAAGAAACATGCTACAATCAATACAAACTACCAAAAGCCAATAAAGCACCAAATCCCTGCTAGCAGCCTAAATAACAACCATACCAAAACATACAGAAAAAATAAACAAAATAAGAAAGCAAGCAGCAAAGTGCAAACTAAGAGCAAGCTCCCCATGAAGCAACCGCCCATGAACCTGCACACATCAGCAAATGAAAAACCAAGAAGCCCTCAGCAAATCAACAATCGCCAACAACTAGCCAACGCTCCATTCCAGGCAAAGCTGAAAATTAACACTGTCAACCTTGTTAATGTTGTATCCATGTAACCTAGCACTAACCGATCTTCTAATACTTTCAAAGATATCTTCAGTTGTCCTAGAGCATCCTCTGAAACACCTGAGATTATGTTCTTCCCACACAACGTATAAAAGGCAAATCCAAGCTAATTTCAAAATACAAATCAGCAGGGATTTACCCCTAAAGTTGGCTACTGCCTAAGCCAAAGAATCACTCCAACACAATTCTCTGTGGGGGATTCTACAAGTCTGTAGCACATTGCTCCAGATTCCCCTAGTAAAAACACAGTCATTGAAAAGATGGTCCCTGTCTTCAAGCCCAGCATTACAAAGAACACAACCTCCATCTAACTCCATTCCCATATTGATGAGTCTGTCCTTTGTAGGGAGCCTATTCAAAACAGCCATCCAAGAAACAATTGACATTCTTGGGACATGTAAGGGGAACCAAATAAAGTGTTCCCATCTGACCTTTTCCATCTTGTCTCTTAACTTCTCCCACACCCACTTACTTTTAACCATGTTCCAGTCCATTATACTACCAAATAAGACTGCAACTTCATTCCTAAGCATAAGCAATTTTCTCAAAAACCAACTAAACTGAGGCTTAGGACTGACTTCCCAATAAGCAGCCCCCTTCAGAGCATATTCTTTGATCCAGGCCATCCAAAGTGACCCTGCATTTGCTAAGATGTTCTTGATCAACAAGAAACAACACACCTTGTTCTAACAGCCAAGACTCTTCAAACCCAAGCCAACATCTGATTTTAACCAACACATTTGCAGCCAGCTAACTCTAGTCCCCCTAGCAGGAATGTCACCACCCTTCCAAAAAAATCTCATACAAAGTTGTTCAACCTGTCTAATGACCTCATTAAGAAGAACCAATTGCCTACACCAGTAATTTGAAATACTAAAAAGGACAGATTGAATAAGCTGCAACTTACCACCATAACTCAGCTTCAATTTTGACCATATGTTCAACTTGCTTCTAATATTATCAATAAATGGAATGCAATCCTTGACAGCCAAATTTCTGGTGACTAAGGGTACCCCAAGGTACCTAACAGGGAGCCTTCCCAATTTAAACCAGTTGTTGCTAGCATCCTACTTAAGATATCATTTTGCACCCCACAAGCAAACATTTCATATTTACCAGCATTCAGTTGAAGACCAGACAACTCATAAAATACCTCCAATACCCCAACAACACCCAAAATAGAACTCTCATCACCATGACAGAAAATAAGCAAGTCATCAGCAAAGCTAAGATGGGTGAGATAGACATGTTTGCATTTAGGATAGAACCAAATTAAACCATTACTAGCAGCGATATTAAGCAAATAAGATAGCACATTCATAACCAATAAAAAGAGATAAGGGGATAGAGGGTCCCCTATCTAATTCCCCTTCTCCCTTTAAAAACCCCACTAAGCTCCCATTAAATGCCAGAGAGAACCTTGCACCGGTGATACAAGCTCTGATCCAAACTCTAAATTCCTCAGGAAGCCCCAAAGCAGCAAGAACTTTCATCAAAAAATCCCTGCACACAAAATCAAAAGCCTTTCTAAGGTCAATTTTAAGAGCACATCTAGGGGACAGTGAGCTGCGAGAGTATCTCCTAACTATTTCCTGAGCTAATAGAGTATTATTAACTATGCTACATCCCTTAATGAATACAGATTGATTAGGTAAAATCATGTATGGAAAGAAGCTAGCCAAACGATTGACAATGATGCTAGTAATGGTTTTATATACAACCAAGCAGCAAAATATGGAGCGAAAGTCCTTAGCCATACCTACATTAGGAGTCTTAGGCACTAGGACAATAGTTGTAGCATTGAAGGCAGGCAGCAGAACACCAGTCTGGAAAAACTCTCTAATGGCAGCCAAAAAATCTACTTGAGCAATATCTCAGGCCACCTAAAAGAAGTATGCAGTATACCCATCAGGCCCAAGACTCTTCTCATTCCCTTACTTAAACAAGAAATCTTTGATTTCCTCATTAGAGATCTCCTTCACTAGGGAAACAACAGCAACACAAGGAAGTTCATACCCCAACAAGCCCTTAAGAACATCCACATCACAACTTTTAACACAAGTGTCCTCCATGCCAAGTAACATTGTATAAAACCTCACCATCTCAGCTGACATGGTCTAAAATGTATCCAACCTAGAGCCATCCTCAACATAAAGCAATCTGATAGTATTCTTCTTTTTCTTCCTCATCACAGCAGAATGGAAGAATTTGGTATTCCTACCACCCTCCCTAAGCCAATGGATTTTGGCTTTCTGTTTGTAGAAAGAAGCTTCAGCCACTTCAAGATCATTAAGCTCATTTTGAAGGCTCTTCTCATCCTCAATGTAGCAACCAATATGTGAAAGATTTGCATATTGTACTTGCTCAAGCTGGTCACTCTTGTCCTTAACCCTTTTAGAAATATCATCAAAACGACATTTGTTAAGCTCCTTCAATCTCAGTTTGAGTCTTTTCAACTTAGTAAACAGACATCACATGGCAGAGCTAGATACCTCAGTTTGCCAATACTCCTTAACTGTATTCAAGAACTCGCCATACCTAGCCCAACAGTTGAAGAACTTGAAAGGCTTGGGTCTATCAGCATGATTTTCCTTAAAGAAGGAAATCAAAGCAGGGAAATGGTCAGATACTCCTTGGGATTTAAACTCAACAAAGAAACTAGGAAATTCCTCAAGCCACTTAGAGTTAATGAGAACTCTATACAACTTACGGGCTAGGAAGTTCCTATCTTGCCTATTAGACCAAGTGTATAAAGGCCCCACAAATGGGTGATCAATGAGCTCCAAGGAAGACAAGCAATTCTTGAGAGTCTCCAT